ATGCATCTTTTGGATTCAATGTATGTATTATAGTTTTCGAGTAAATCAATGAAATGTAAAAACACTGCTTTTTCGAGCATTTGTCAACTTTTATCGCGTATTACAGCAATATGGATAAGAGCACAGGAATGTATCTCCCTAGGGAGGCGTGCCTCACAGTTTGAAAAACGCTGGATTAGCCAATAAAAACAATGCATTATTTAATATAAAATGTTTTTTTTTATTATGTTATGTTATTTCACACTTAAATTATATACAAAGAAACAAAAATTTTCAACGGGATTTCGACAAAAAAAAAACAAAAAACAAATTCAATGAAGACTATTTTTTTTTTCTTAATATCCTGGATGAGTTCCACCTGCAGCGTTCTGCTGAGCGTTGTTGTACTGCTGATGAGGAGCAGGCTCTGGATGGTACTGTCCATCGTCGACGATGCCGCGCGCTTCATCCGCCCTGTTCTGTTCCAAAGCCTTCAGGATCTCTTCTGGAATCGGTGGCGGTGTTGGCAGATGGTTTCCGACGGGAACGAAACCGTTCTCGTCGGCGGTGTAACTGATCGAGAACTGCTGACCATCGGGAGCGGTGAAGGCGAATCCTCCTTGGGCGGTCGGAGAGTCGGCATCCTTGAGGTACCCGTGCTCCTGGGCGGAGGTGCCATCTCCCGTCTCGTAAGCGTACTTGTAACCACCCTCGCCGTCGTTGCTGTTCTCCAACCTCAGGATGGGAACGTCGTTGTTAGCGTTCGGAATTCCGTTATAGTTGTTGCCATGTTGATTGTTGTTGTTGACATTGTTGTTATTGGCGTTGCTATTGTAACCGGGAGGTCCGTATTGGCTGCTCGGCGGTTCCGCGAACGCCAATCCAACCAAGGCGAAGACTATGAACTTGTAAAAAGAAAAAATTAAATAAATTTGAAAAACTATTGAAAAAAACACACAAATGCACTTACTTGTTTCATTGTTGCGATGCTGTAGATCTGGAGTGATCAGAAGATGTGATGATGTGCAGATGAGGACCGCTCCAATTTATATCCAAACTCCCACCTAAAAAAAAAATAAATAATAATTTCTGCTCGAAATTTCGCTCCAAACCATCTCTCTTTTTCTTCGAAACTTCTTTTCACCTACACGCACCCATATTATTCCTCTCTTCTTCATTGTTACCGGTGCTTCTGCAGAGGCACAAGGTTGCAATTAGCAAATCGATTTATATAAATATACTCTTGCAATTAAACGCGAGAAAGACCTCGAATTCTTTCAACAATTTTTACTTTAACCAAAACCAGAATGCATTTCCATTTAATTTATAAATAGAACGTTCAAAAAATAATCTTCGAACACTTTTACTTCGTATTTTATATTGTTTGTTTAATTAATTAATTTGTAATTTGTGGAAAGGAATGTGTTCTCATACATGTGAGAGATGATGAGCACAATTGAACTTTCTTCGAATATCCTATTTGAAACGCGGAAAGTCGTAATAGTTGGACAGATGATGATTGCATTTGAGAAGACATTATTAACCGATTGACATTTCGCAAAATTAAGATTATTGTTGCAAAAAAAGGAAATAAAAGTGTTGAATAAGATGTGAGACGATGTAAGTTGATTGTCTACCTTAAACGTATCTTGAAAAAAAAGAAACAACTTAAGAATTGATGAAAATTCAATAATTAAGATTGAAAAATAAGAAAATTAATGAAGAACTTTATCAAATCTTGTATGAAACGAAATAATTCTTATGTGACTGCAATGCAATGGAAAATGTTGCAAATAAACACATATTAAAAAGTACTCAAATATATAATTAGTATAAGTGTATGTGAAGACACTGAATTTTCAAGTATATTCAATTTTAACTGTACATTACAAAAAAAAAGTTGATACAAATTTGACTGCCGATTACAAGAAATTAGTAATAATTACAAATTTCACAATAAACACAGATTAAAGCGTAGATATCTAAGATTAATTAGAGTAATCAATCATGTAATTAGTGTAAGAGGTTCTTGAGTTATACAACAAAATGTGAAGACACTGGATTTTCGAGTATTAAAAAAAACGTTTATTCAAGTTTGATTTCAGATTTCAGGAAACAAGTAATAGTTACAATTCTAAAAATAAACTCATATTAAAGCCTGTATATCTAGGATTAAGTAGAGTACTCATACTTGTAATTAGTGTAAGTGGTTGTCGAGTTATACAACAATTATAACAGCATATTACAAAAAAAAATCAAATTTGACTGCCGGTTACAAGAAATTAGTAATAGTTACATATCTGACAATAAGCACATATTAAAGCGAGGATATCTGAGATTAAGTAAAGTACTCAAACTTGTAATTATTGTAAGTGTTTGTCGAGTTATACAACAAAATGTGAAGACAGGATTTTCGTGTATTAAAAAAAAGTTTATTCAAGTTTGATTTCAGATTTCAAAAAACAAGTAATAGTTACAATTCTGAAAATAAACTCATATTAAAGTCTGTATATCTAGGATTAAGTAGAGTACTCTTACTTGTAATTAGTGTAAGTGGTTGTCGAGTTATACAACAATTATAACAGCATATTACAAAAAAAAATCAAATTTGACTGCCGATTACAAGAAATTAGTAATAGTTACATATCTGACAATAAGCACATATTAAAGCGAGGATATCTGAGATTAAGTAATGTACTCATACTTGTAATTAGTGTAAGTGTTTATCGAGTTATACAACAAAATATGAAGACACGATTTTCGAGTGCGATAAAACGTTTATTCAAATATGATTACAGATTACAAGAAAATGGCAACAGTTATAATTCTGGCAATATGCACATATTAAAGAATAGATATCTGACATTAATTACTGTACTCAAACAAGTAATTAGTGTCAATGGTTGTCCAGTTATACAACAAAACCTAAAAAAACGTTTTCCAATTTAACTGCTTGGATATTTGCTCAAATTTTAATCAAATTTCACCTCATAAAAGAAATGTTCATTTGATGCATAATTAAAAGCTGAGTATAATTAGCTATTACGTTTACAGTTATTTAAGATCCATTCGTGCCATTATAAAACAAGACGCAATTAACAAGTGTTTCCTCAAATTTCGTCCTGGTAATTGTCGTCACATCAATTATTATCACACGTAACACATCATCACTTTTTTCCCGTATATTTCGGTCATAGTTTCATCAAATTCATTGCAAAATATTGTAGAAAAAAACCTCTTCATATTGTTATTATTTATTTTTTATAATCATCGTGACCCAAAGAATGATGAGAGATACGATCTAAATTTTCGTGGTTCCCACGTCTTCGGCGAGATGCGTCTGACCTTGCTTCAGATTTCCGTGCACTTTTTCTCTTTCGCTTCCCAAAGAGCCGATGGAAAGGTCAGAGGTGTATCAATTGAACGGCATTAGTTTTGTACACGCGAAGCAAGAAAGAAAAAACCAATTCACAGGCCAATTATTATTGGTTTTTTTTTTATAATAATATTTTACGTAATCAAAACTTGTCTCTCGATTATTATTAAAATTATCTAAATCGCACGGAAATTGGGTAAAAAAATATCTATAAAACTTTTCGTTACGAAATTTGGATCATTTATTCGAAAACCGGAGCAATCAAACAAAAAAAAATTGGACATTAATTGATAATCGGTCGCATCCTGTCTGGAATCATTCTCGGATATATCCAAATTCTTCTCTTTCTCCTCTTGCATAAAAGACACATTTTCTAATCTCGTCCGCAACGAGAAACTCCACAAGATTAAGATCTTTTTGCGTTGTGAATGGACCACGAAATTTTTGGCGTGTTGCGTGGACGAGAAGAAAGTGCAGTCAGTACGCAAATGTAAATGTAAATGTGTTACTTGTTAGACTTGAGCAATTCGTTCTAATCATCTTCGGGTCTGTCTGAAAGAATCGAAAAACTTGTCTGGCGTTTCGTAACTTTAACCTGATTGAGATCCAACGAACACACAATTAGCCTAGATGAACAATCTTTTCAATCGATTTCAAGGTTTCTCTTACTTTTATATCTTAAATTTATTACGTTTATTTGGGATCAATTTTGTTTGGGAAGCATTCAATGCGTGAACTTTGTTAAGAGAACTTCTTCAAATTTTATAAAAGTTTTTTGTTTTAACAACGAATTTCAAGAAATCTGTAAGAGACACAATAATAACTTTATACTCTTTTCATTCCTTATAGTTTTATCTTTAATTTGCATATTTAAAATTAATTTAATCATTTTTCCTTCATGAGATCTTAATGAAAATGTAAGGTCACTTTTATTACCTCTTTTTTCATATCGAATTATAAGATATATGTAAGAAACACAATAATAAGACTATGCTCATTTTATTCTCTGTAATTTTAGCATTAAATTGAGCATAAAATATTATAAATGTCTTTCGTGGTTCTAAAGATATAGACAAAAAAGTAAAACACAAATTTTCATGATTATTACTACGATTTTAATAGTGAATTATAAGAAATCTGTCAGAGACACAACAATAACTTTATATTCTTTTCATTCTTTACACTTTTATCTTTAATTTGCATATTTAAAATTAATTTAATCATTTTTCCTTCATGAGATCTTAATGAAAATGTAAAGTCACTTTTATTACCTCTTTTTTGATATCGAATTATAAGATATATGTAAGAGTCACAATATTAAGACTATACTCATTTTATTCTGTATAGTTTTAGCATTAAATTGAGCATTAAATATTATAAATGACTTTCCTGGTTTTGGAGATATAGATAAAAAAGTAAAACACAAATTTCCATGATTATTACTACGATTTTAATAGTGAATTATAAGAAATCTATAAGAGACACAACAATAACTTTATACTTATTTTATTCTTTATACTTTTATCTTTAATTTACTTATTTTGTATTGATATTATCTTTATTTGTTCTCAAGATGTAAATGGAAATGTAAGGACACTGCTTTTTGTACATTTAACATTTTGTTACTTCATTTTTGATAAAGAAATACATCATAATAGTTTAAGAGATATAATAATAAGGCTATACTCATTTCATTCTCTGTAGTTTTCACTTTAAATTGAGCATTCATTATTATAAGTAGCTTTCGTGGTTGTTGAAATATTGACGAAAAAGTAAAAACATAGATGTTCATTACTACGAATTTAATTGCGAATTACAAGAAATCTGTTAGAAACACAGTAATAACTTTTTACTCATTTCATTCCATACAGTTTTATCTTTAATTTTCATATTTTATATTGATATTATCTTTCATTGTTCACGAAATATAAATGAAAATGTAAGAACTAATTTTTGTACATTTAAAATTTTGATACTTCACTTTTGATAACGAATTACCATATATTTGTTAACAAACACAATAATAAGACTATAATCATTTTATTCCCTGTAGTTTTCACTTTAAATTGAGCATTCAATATAATAAATAGCTTTCGTGCTTGTAGAGATATAGAACAAAAAGTATAAAAAAACAGATTTTTATGTTCATTACTTCGATTCTAAATTACAAGAAATCTCAAAGAAATACAATAATAAGACTATACTCGTTGTATTCCCTATAGTTTTTGCTTTAAATAGAGTATTCAATATTATAAATAGCTTTAGTGGCTATGGAGATATAGATGAAAAAGCAAAGACATAGTTTTTCATGTTAATCAATACGATATTAACAATTACAAGAAATCTGCAAGAGATGCAACAATGAATCTACACTAATTTTATTCTTTGCATTATTAAATTTAAAATATGTGCTTAATATTATTAACTTTTAAATATATGTTTAATTTTGAAAAATGAATTAGCGATTGTAGAGATTGTAGAGATATAGATTAAGAAGTAAAAAAAAACAGATTTTCATGTTCATTACTTCGATACTAAATTACAAGAAATATCAAAGAGACACAATAATAGGACTATACTCGTTGTATTCCCTATAGTTTTTACTTTAAATAGAGTATTCAATATTATAAATAGCTTTAGTGGTTATTGAGATATAGACGAAAAAGCAAAGACATAGTTTTTCATGTTAATCATTACGATATTAACGGTTACAAGAAATCTGCAAGAGATGCAACAATGAATCTACACTCATTTTATTCTTTGCATTATTAACTTTCAAATATGTGTTTAATTTTGAAAATGGAATTAGTGATTGTAGAGATATAGATTAAGAAGTAAAAAAACAGATTTTCATGTTCATAACTTCGATTCTAAATTACAAGAAATCTTAAAGAAATACAATAACAAGACTATAATCATTGTATTCCCTATAGTTTTTATTTTAAATAAAGTATTCAATATTATAAATAGCTTTAGTGGTTATGGAGATATAGACGAAAAAGCAAAGACATAGTTTTTCATGTTAATCATTACGATATTAACGATTACAAGAAATCTGCAAGAGATGCAACAATGAATCTACACTCATTTTATTCTTTGCATTATTAACTTTCAAATATGTGTTTAACTTTGAAAATGGAATTAGTGATTGTAGAGATATCGATTAAGAAGTAAAAAAACGTTTTTTAATTAAAATTTAATTACCTCAAATTTGATAATTAATTATACAAAAACTGTAACAAACTCAATAATTAAACCATATTTATTTAATTCCTTGTAGTATAAGCTTTAAAATGCGTTTTTAATAATAAAAAATCGAATCCACGATTGTGGAGATACAGACGAAATTAATTGCATTAAGTTTGGTAGCTAATTCCAAGAAACTTATAAAAGATAGAATATTGTATCAATGTTCATTCTATTCCTTATAATTTCGTCTTTAATTCGTGTCTTCGTTGTAATTCGTGGTAATCGACAAATGTGTTGAATAAGTGAGTGTGTTGTTACACTGCCTCAATTAACGTGTTGCAAAACAGAATTGCGTAAGAGATGTTTAGGATTTGCTTCGGTTAGGTGAATATGTAATCACTGAAGATGAGCGAAGAGGTCCGAATGTTGCTGATGCTGCGAGCTAATCGTCTCCCAAAAGGAAGAAAAAAGAAAAAAAGCAAATTGAGATGAGCAAATGTAATGGTATATAACAAGAAGGCTCTTTCTCTTCTTCAGTTTGTTGGGTAACAAGTAACGTCTTCCTCATGAATGGAAATCAATAGAACGCTCATTATAATTATTATTATCATCTAATATAACTTTTATTTGCTTTCATAAATATTAATTCACATTATTATAATTATCATTATACATACGGAAGCGTCATAGCATTTAATTATTATTATTATTTATATATAAATAGTATCAAAGTAAAAGTAATAAACGTATCTTTTTTTTTTTGTAATAAATTTGTACCACAGATCAAGAATCAGCCACTATTAATAATTATACCCGGTTTGTGGATTGAAGGAGCCGCTGCCTGGACGAGGTCCACCGAAAGAAGGTCTTCCGCCACCGCCTCCTCCGATTCCACCGCCACCGCCGCCGCTTCCACCGCTTCCTCCTCCTCCACCACCTCCGCCGCCGCCTCCTGATGGACGGTACTGACCATCATCTCCGCCGCCGCCTCCTCCTCCTCCATAACCTCCTCCACCGCCACCTCTCGCTTCTTCAGCTAAGTTCTGCTCGATGGATCTCAAAATCGCTTCGGGGATCGGTGGAGGCGTCGGAAGATGCGCTCCCTGCGGCCTGAATCCGTTCTCATCGGCCGTGTATTGCACGGCATATTGTTGTCCGTCTGGGCCGGTGTAAGAGAAAGATCCTGTTGCCGATTGGGCTTCGTTCTGCGATCCGGCGTTCTACAAATCGAATCATTAACAAATCTACTCGAATCTTATCCAAAAACGATCTCACCTTCAACGCTCCTTGTTCTTGCGCTTTGATTCCGTTTCCTGTTTCGTACGCGTAACTGTACGATCCGTCGCCGTTGTTCTCGTTGTCGTAACGCAGGATCGGGATGTTCGCTCCGCCACCTCCGCCGCCGCCTCCTTGATAACTACCGCCTCCGCCGCCTCCTCCACCTCCTGGGAACCTACCACCGCCTCCGCCGCCGCCTCCCGGGAATCTACCGCCTCCTCCTCCGCCGCCGCCGCCTCCGCCTGGGAATCGACTGGGAGCACCGCCGAATCCCGGACCGTTGTATCCACCGGAACCGCCAGCACCTGCGGGTGGTAAGTAGGTGTTGTCCAACCTTGCGCTGAAGGCGGCACCGAAGAGCATTAACACTGCCACCTTAAAAACAAAACAACAAACTTTGAGAACGAATTACAAGAAATCTATAAGAGACACAATCATAAGCTTGGAATCATATTAATCCTTATAGATTTATCTTTAAAATGTGTTTTCAATAACAAAAATAGCATTCCTAGTTGTTGACATATAGATGAAAATGTATAAACACTGCATTTCAAGTTGATAAAACAGGATTATCTAGATACATATGAAATAGTAAAAACACTGCTTTTCGCAACTTTAACAATGAATTACAAGAAATCAGTACATTAATGAATCTAGATTCATTTTATTCTCTATAGTTTTAACTTAAAAATGTGTTTTCAATAACAAAAGTAGCTTACATGGTTATTAAGATACAGATGAAAAAGTAAAAACACTGCTTTTTGAAAGATTCAAATTTGATTACTTCAAGTTTAACAATGAATTACAAGAAATCTATAAGAACCACAACAATAAGACTACACTTACATTATTCCCCATAGTTTTAACTTTAAAATGTGTATTCGATATCGAAAAGAGTAAACAGGATTATCTAGATACATATGAAATAGTAAAAACACTGCTTTTTGCAACTTTAACAATGAATTACAAGAAATCAGTAAGAGATACAATAATGAATCTAGATTCATTTTATTGTCTATAGTTTTAACTTTAAAATGTGTTTCCAAGAACCAAAATAGCTTACATGATTATTGAGATACAGATGAAAAAGTAAAAACATTGCGTTTCAAAAGGTTAAAATTTGATTACTTCAAGTTTATAAATGAATTACAAGAAATCAGTAAGAGACACAATAATGAATTTAGATTCATTTTATTCTCTATAGTTTTAACATTAAAATGTGTTTACAATATGAAAAGTAGCTTACATGGTTATTGAGATACAGATTAAAAAGTAAAAACACTGCTTTTTGAAAGATTCAAATTTGATTACTTCAAGTTTAACAATGAATTACAAGAAATCAATAAGAGACACAATAATGAATCTAGATCTATTTTATTCTCTATAGTTTTAACTTTAAAATGTGTTTTCAATATCAAAAGTAGCTTACATGGTTATTGAGTTACAGATGAAAAAGTAAAAACACTGCATTTCAAAAAGTTAAAATTTGATTACTTCAAGTTTAACAATGAATTACAAGATATCAGTAAGAGACACCATAATGAATCTAAATTCATTTTATTCTCTATAGTTTTAACTTCAAATTGAGTATTCAATATCGAAAATAGCAAACATGGTTATCGAGATAGCAAAAACGTTGCAACAAAGCGTTAAAATTTGATTACTTCAAGTTTGATAATGAATTATTAGAAATCAGTAAGAGATACAATAATAAACTTATATTCATATTATTCCTTATGATTTCAGCTTTAAAATGTGTATTCAATATCGAATATAGCTTTCATGGTTATCTAGATATAGATGCAAACATAAAAAGAAACAAAATTCTTCAATATATTTTGTTTTAAAACCAAGAAAAAAAAATTCAATTAACACTCACCATTTAATCTTTAATCGTTTCAAATTTAGTACATTTACATTAATGAAATGCAAAACTTTGAATCTGATGTTTAATTTTCTTACAATTTTGCAAATTACATAACGAAACAAAGTTCATCACGAAACCATAAGGAGACGCGGATGTTATATATTAAATCTCGTTTGACAGTTGCGGGGAAAACAAATGAATAATTGTAGCCTCCCCCCACTAACGGATTAAAACAAACGCGAAGCGATGTTTGGTTACATGAGCGCGCGGCTTTCATGGATAATATTTCGGATTATGTAAAATCTAATTGAGCAGAAAAGAGCAGAGAGTTTGAGAGCTGGAGGCTCGAGTGAAAGGGATGGAACACAATGGTTATGTACACTCGAAAAGAAAAGAAATTAGATGGATGTTCGACAGAAATTGAAATACACCGGAAGAAATTGAAGCGAACAAGAACAAACATGGGAAAAATTGTTATTGAGTCACGAATTTCTTAGCAAATGTATGTATATGTAGTTATTTGAGTCAAAAAACAATTGAATTCACAAGAAAATTAACTTACTTGATTTTGTTTTTTGTTTTTCTCAATCCAGGCAAATAGAAATTAGTTATGAAAAAGCGCACTCTAGAATTTCTTAGCAAACAATTGAATTCATAAGAAAATTAACTTACTTGATTTTTTTTTCTGTTTTCAATCAAACAAATGAAAGCGAATAGAAATTAGTTACGAAAAACTACGTTTTAATTAAAAATTGTAAAATTTGATGAGTTTATTTTTTAGAAATATTACCAAATAGAGAATGTATTTTTTTTTCTTATTGTTTTCATCGCTTAAATCTCTCAAACTCATTAAGCTGTGACCTTAATTGGTTTGGGATGACGATGGACGGTATTCAAATGTTTAAATTCACCCAAGCAACGAAAAACAAACACACACAAAAAAAACAATCGAAGAAGAAGAAGAAAAAACAATCGAAGGCAAATAATAATGGCTTCCGTTTCCTTAAGAGAAAAATCTCTCACACGCTCCACAAAATATGGAGCAAATATTTTGAAACTTTATTTACAATTAATTATAATTAATCTCTTGTGAATATTCAAATACACTTTGTCTAGAATCAATCTTGTAACGTGTGTGAAAAATATGATAAATTTTGATAAATTATTATAATTAGTAAAACAACTGAATATATTTTGACACATTTTTTGACAGGTAACCAAAAAAAAAATGACAGTTATCATTTTTCAAGTTGAAAAACAAAGAAATTTCAAAATTTTTGTAATTTTTTTTTGACAATTTTCAATATATATTGTGATTAGTTGTAATCTATAAACTAATTGTTAGTTATATTCTTAATTATCACTAAGTTTAAAGCTGATGTTAAAGTTTGCGATTATTATTGAGAGCTGAGAGTACTTACAAATTTCATATTGCTGTTGTGATTTGTGTAGGGAAAATGATGCGATTATGCAGTGGATGCATATGATTTATATAGTCCGAGATGCGGCCGAGATGATGCACCCAGAGTGCGGCGAAAACCCCACCAGAAGAGAAGAACAGGGGGAGAGAGAGAAAGAAGCGTAAGAAGAGAGGGCGCCGTTCCAATTCGAGGATGAGCCTCGGCATTTCGAACCGGAGGAATTTCAAAAGCTGATCCAGATCATCCCAATCATCATCATCATCATCATCATAAGCAAGGCCTTTCTGCTCTCTTCATCTCTTCTCGCAATTAACACATTACTATTATCATTACCATTACTCGTTTCTTTTCTACGTCGAATCGAATCGTTTGCACATCGCATGCAAATAATTAATAATTTATTATAAACACATGCTCTCCTCAAAATGCAACGCGTGTGTGGAAATCCTGATTATTGGGTCTTCTTTGAGATCTGAAATCTTCAGATTTACGCAATTTTTCATCGACGTATGATGCAAAAATCAATTTTTCTTCTTATAAAATTGAAACATTCAACCATCTGTTGTCTTTCACAACTTTAACATCGATATTTTATCCCTTTCTTCGATAAATTCCAAAAAAACGTCTTTGCAATCATGTTATTATAATAATTTGAACACAAATTTACAACAAAAACTTATGAAATTCATACACATAATTAAAAACTCATTAAATTTTCAACATATCTTACAAATAATTACTTCAAAATAGTTTTCTTTAAGATTTTTATGTTTCAATGTTATGTTTCTTACCATGAATGAATGAAGTTTTGTCATTAAATGATGAATGAAATACGTTATTTTTTTTAAAATTGGTAATTCTTTACAGTTTTCAATGATTTAGTAAATACATTTCAAATAACTAAACTTTCTTTAAAGTTAAACACAATTTCTTGATTTTTTCTCATTTTATGCAATTAATATACAAAATATTTAGTATTTTCTCAATTTTTTTTAATTTTAAACTTCAATTTTCGTCCTTATTAACTGTAATTAACTATAATTTGATATCCCGAAGTTTTTTTTTATTCAAATTTTTTACAAATTTATTTCACTAGTTTTTGTTTATAAAAAAATGTATGATTTGATAAATTTATTACGATTTTTTTTAAATATTTTTGTTAATATCAATAGTAAAATGATTAATTTATGTAATATAACAATTTTGAGTTAATTAACTTAAAAATATTAAAAAAAATCTAAAATTTATTTGAACTTTTTTTGAAATTAAAATTTTCTCTAAATTAAAAAGCGCACAACTGAAAATCTCTTTATAACACGAAAATAATAATATACACACATGATTACCTATAGATTTAGCTTCAATTATCCTATTAATTGATGTATTTTTATTGATTTAATTTTCTTAAAAAAAATATAATTTAATGTTTTCTAATTATTAAATTATTGATAAATTTATTACGAATTTCTCAAACATTATTGACAAATTTATTACGAATTTTTTAAACATTTTTGTTAATATTAATAATAAAATGATTAATCTATATAATAGAACAACTTTTAGTTAATTTTATACTTTAAAACTATAAAAAAAAAATCAACAAAAATTATAAAATTTATTTATTTTTTTTAAATTAAAATTTTCTCTAAATTAAAAATTGCACAACTCGAAATCTCTTTATAACATGAAAATAATAATATACATATATGATTCCTTATACTTTTAGCTTCAATTATCAATTTAATTGGATCATTTTCATTGATTAATTTCCTTTTAAAAAACCATTTTTCTGATTGATGTTAATTATTATTAAATTTTCCAATTTGAGATGTAAAAATTGATTGGATCTTTATGTATCACACGATTCTAATAAACATGAACCAAATTTAGTAAAGATCGGGTTTTAACGGTCGCATTGATATTTGAACCAGGAAGGACGATACAAATCAGCGGCGCTTTCGATCTCGTTGTTTCTTCTCTGTTCATTATTATTTCATTGAACTATCGGAATTCCGAGCGCAATTCTCCGATCTATATGAAATCCACCTTTTTCCTACGCATCTACAAGTCAATGCCAAGAAAAACAAAAGCCAACAAACAACCAATAATAATGATCCCAGATTAATTACGAAAATCATGAAAACATCTTCATTAATTCTATAATTTATTAGTTGACGAATCAAACGTCTTTTGCATATCGTAAATTTACTAATTAATTGAGTTTTAGAATGATTTCATCTCGATTTAATTAGTAAATTTCGTGTGAATTTACGTTCCTACACATTTTTATTAGTTATTATTATTATAATTAGAGAATATTGAAGGAGATGGAGTTTATTTATTGACTTTAATTAGAATTTCGAGTGTTTATTATTAAAATTTAAAGGTGTTATTTTCGTAGTTGGATGAAAGTGTAATTGTCGGTGATTTATGTAATTTTGCACGGAGTGTGCGATTCGAGGTGGGGTTTAATTATTTGCCAACTTGGATCCATCCACTATATATAAATCAGGTGCTGCGGCGACAGGTGAAGAGTTCTTCTTTGAGTTGCTTTCAAGAACGAATGTAGTAAAGAATATTTTATATATTTCCATGCAAATTTATTAATTTCTTTAATTCCTTATTTGTTTAAGTTTAATTTGCAAAAGTTTACGAGTAAAACGTTTTACAATCTATTAAATATATCTTTTGGTTTGGGCAATAAAACGTTTTAACAAGTCGTTACTTTAAAAGTAATTAAATTTTGAAATGTCAATACTAAAGTTTATAATCGATTTAATTGAAGAACTTAAATACGCACGCAATCTGCAAATTAATGTAGTTTATAAACAATTCGTTTAGTTTTAAGTAGAATATTTGTATTTTGAAATATCTTTATTGGTTCATGAAATATTTACTGAAATGTAAAGTTGTTGCTTTCTAATGAATTACAACAATTTTCTTTAAAATTTACAATGGATTTACGTGATCTGATTCTGTAATTTATCGTAAATTGTAAACAAAATATTTAGTTTTAAGTAAAATATTTACATTTTGAAAAATCTTTCTTGGTTCATGAAATATTCACTAAAATATGAAGTTGGAACTTTAAACAAAATTACAATATTCTCTCATTTTCTTAATATCTTTGAAGAGATTTATTTCTATAATTATACAAGAAGGAGCAAATATAGTAAATGAGTTAAATGCTCTATATATTTAGTTTTAAGTAGAATATTTGTATTTACAAAAATCTTTCTTGGTTCATGAAATATTTACGGAAATGTAAAGTTGTTGCTTTCTAATGAATTACAACAATTTTCTTTAAAATTTATAATGGATTTACGTGATCTGATTCTGTAATTTATCGTAAATTGTAAACAAAATATTTAGTTTTAAGTAGAATATTTACATTTTGAAAAATCTTTCTTGGTTCATGAAATATTCACTTAAATAGTTGGAACATTAAACAAAATTACAATATTCTCTCATTTTTTTAATATCTTTGAAGAGATTTATTTCTATAATTATACAAGAAGGAGCAAATATAGTAAATGAGTTAAATGCTCTATATATTTAGTCTTAAGTAGAATATTTGTATTTTGAAAAACATTTCCTGGTTCATGAAATTTTCACTAAAATATGTAGCAGTAACTTTAAACAAAATTACATTATTGTCTCATTTTCTTAATATCTTTGAAAATATTTTTTTCAAGAAATATATGAGAAAAGGTAAATATAATAAATGCATTAAATACTCTATATATTTA